GCCCGCCCCGCGTCCCGCGAAGCGACGCGATGCTCCGCTCGGGATCGAACCCGATCACGCTCCGCCCCGAACCGCACATCCCCAGGTCCGTCAGCGCCGCGCACCCCTCGCCCAGGATCCGCGCGTCGCTCGTCTGCACGTGCGTGTGGCTCCCGAACACCCCCACCACGCGCCCGGGCCACCGCAGCGCCGCGTGCCACGCGACCGCCCCCTTCTCGCTCGTCGCCTCCGCGTGGATCTCCACGAACACCAGCGCCCCCGGGTCCTCCGCCTCGATCGCGCCCACCGCCCCGTCCAGCGCATCGAACGGATTGCTCGCCTCGCGCCGCATGAACAGCGCCCCGTGCACCACCACGACCCACAAACTCAGCCCCTCGCGCACCACCCGCACGCCCCGCTTGTACCCCGTCACGCCCGGGACGATGTTCACCGGCGAGCACACCGGCTCGCCCGGGTCCTTGAGCGACGGCAGGATCCGCGGGTCGTCGTCGTAGTGATCCCCGAGCGTCACCGCGTCCGCCCCCGCCGCCCGCAGCTCGTCGTACCCCGACGGGTGCAGCCCGCGCCCGTGCTTCGCGTTCTCCCCGTTCACGATCACCACGCCCGCCCCGAGCGACCCTCGCGCCACCCCCGCCGCGTGCGCGAACGCCACACGCCCCGCCGCGCCGACCACATCACCGAAATACGCGACCCGGACCTCGGACACGGAACCATCCAATCAAACCCCCAACCGACACGACAATCCGGACAAACATGAGCCCATCCCGGCCAACACGCTTGCGGAACCGACCGATCACCTTACATTCACTGAGACCGCCCCGCACCGTTCCGGAGGAGAGCCAGTCCATGCCCACGACGCGTCTCGCGCGCCGATTCTGTTCCCTGGTGCTCTGCGCGCTCGCGCTCGCAACGCCCGCACCTGCCGCGTTCGAGACGATGTCCAGCGCCGGAACGCTCCGCCTCAACCCCGAGCAGACCCCCGAGATCATCGGCCAGGGCAACTTCTCCGTCCTCTTCTACTACCGCCCCAGCGCGCTGCCCGCGAACGAATCCGCCGCGCTGCTCGAACTGCCCGGTGCCCTCCGAGTCCGCCTCTCGCCCGCCGGCCTGATCACCGCGACGATCTTCCACGAGCCGCCCGGCCCCGAGCCGCAATCGCAGAACAGGGCCCCCGCGCAGCAGGGCTGGATCAACCACGATCCCACGCTCGGCATCGAGAACCCGCCCATCCTCCTCACCGCGCCGCTCCCCCTCCAGCCCGGGAAGTTCGCGCTCATCGCCCTCTCCTTCGAAGGCAACGGCAACGCCAGCCTCTGGGTCGCTCAAGAAGGCGCCGAGACCTCGCACGTCACACACACCGTCGCGGGCTTCGAGGTCGGCACGCCGACCGACGGCTTCAACCTCGGCGCCAACAGGTACCCCGGCAACCCCCTCGTCCCCGCCGCCGAGGGCCTCTACGACATCTTCTGCGTCCGCAGGCACAGGCTTAACGACACCGACATCCAGTTCCTCCGCGACCGCAGGCGCGACTACGACCTCTACGACCTCGAGAACCGCGTCCACGGCGGCAACTTCAACGGCGGCGCCGGCGCGCTCCTCATGCTCAACCACGCCGTCCTCGCCGAGCCCTACCCCATGGACAACTACTTCGAGGATCTCGATTCGTCCATCATCGGCCAGCCCGCGCTCCGCTCCGCCGTAAGCAGGCTCGAGAACACCGCGCCGAACTACGGCCTCACCTTCGCCGGCCCCGTCGCCACCGCGTCCAACATCCGCTATCGATCCCACTACGAGCCCGAGTTCGACGGCTACTTCGAACGCACGCCCATCCCCGACATCGACCTCCCGGTGCCGACGCCCGCCGTCGCCCCCATCGCCAAACAGCTCGCCGACGCCGCCCCGCAAGGCCTCGTCAAGGTCATCGTCAGCGCCAACAGCAGGGCCGTCCGGCGCTCGGAACAAACCGTCCTGCCCGGACAAGTCCAGGTCGGACCGCCCAGCATCGGGAGCTACCTCGGCGGGTTCTGGAACGAATACGAAGACCTCATCGCCGGCACCCTCTTCGTCCCCGCCATCCCCAACATGCGCGCCGACCACAGAGCATTCAACACCATCGAAAATCCTCCGCGATCGATCGGACAAATCTATCCCCTCAGGGGCAACAACACACCGCAGCACGAGTTCTCCCGACTCTGGACCGCGAGCGTCAATCCCGGAGCGTACGGACCCGGCACCGGATCGTTCATGCCCAACGGCACGTCCTACGAGCTCAAAGCCCGCCCCGAACCCCGAATGCCCGCGACCGAACCGCTCCTCGTCAGAATTCACGCACTCAGATTCCCGGGCGCGTCCACCGTCAGGTACACCGCCGTCAGAGAAGATCGCCAGTCCGGCGGAGACCGATTCGTCTCCGCGCAACAAGGCGTCAACTCGTTCGATGTCGAACTCGACACCACACACACCACCATCACGTTCACCGAGCAGGACTCGATCACGGCACCCGCACGCGTCCTCACTGTCCAGGGCGACTACACAGGCACGATCGCCGTCGGTGACGCCGTCAGCGTCCGCATCGCTTCGACCGCAAACTTCACGACCGTCCGCAGCATCGAATCCGACGGCGTCAACACCGAGATCACCTTCAACTCATCCACCCTCGGACAGATCACGCCCGGCGTGCAATTCCGATTTGGACCCTGGGAGCACATCGCCCTCGATTACGAGTGGCCCGCCCTCGAGCCCGACGACCACCGCACCTGGCGCGGCCTCCACTTCCAGGTCTTCCACGACGGATCCGGCGCCGTCATTTTCGCCTACTCCTGCTACAACCCAGACGCCGACGGCTTCGCCTTCGGCGCCGCGGGCTGGGCCGGAAACGGCTACGAGGCGCAGATCGAAAGCGTCCACGACGGCGTCATCGCGTCCATCGCCCAGCAGTCCCAGGCGGACATCTGGTTCCAGGTCCCCGCACAGCAGGACTCTGAACCGGATTCCATGTCTCGATTCGCCGACCAACTCGAGATCGGACTCCCCGGCCACGCCGAGATCATCTGGGCAGGGGAATTGACTCACGGCACGAACGACGGACTCTTCGACCGACCATCCGATGATTGGCACCGCTACATCCTCGAAAACGGCCCAAACCGTGGCTACCCCGTCCTCTCCCTCTTGACCGACCCGCTCATCGGCGATTTCAAAACACAGCTCATCGACGGCCTCCGCATCGACCAGGCCCACATCTCCCAACGAGGCAACGAGCGACTCGCCGAACGCTGGATGGCCCAACTCCGCACCGTCGCACGCCAGCCCGGCGACTGCGACGGCGACGACGCCGTCACCTTCGACGACCTCATCTGCACCCTCTTCGAATTCGGCGCCGCACACGGCCCCGCCGACTGCGACCGCTCCGGGACCGTCGATTTCAACGACCTCATCTGCACCCTCTTCAGCTTCTCGCCCGCCCCCTGAACCGACCGCCGACCCGCCCATACCATTGGGCGTGATGAACACACTCCGCACCATCGCCCTCGCCCTCTCGATCACCGCCGCGTCGCACGCCGGCGACGTCGAGCCCCCCTTCCGCGACCTCACCTTCGAGCAGGCCTCCGCCCGCGCCGCCGAGCAGGGCAAGGCCGTCATGATCGACTTCTTCACCACCTGGTGCGGCCCCTGCAAGCGCCTCGACGCCGAGACCTGGCCCGACCCCTCCGTCCAGTCCTGGCTCGAAGACCGCACCGTCCCACTCAAGCTCGACGCCGAGATCGAAACCCAGCTCGCCGACCGCTACGCCATCCGCGGCTACCCCACCGTCATCTTCATCGACCCCGAGGGCGAAGAGATCGAGCGCCTCATCGGCTTCCTCCCGCCCGCCGACTTCCTCGAGCAGGCCGGCCTCATCCTCGACGCCGGCTCGACCGACGCCCTCATCGAGCGCCGACGCGAGCTCGCCTACGACAGCGGAGCCCCCGCGCGCCTCGAGTACGTCAAGCTCCTCATGCGCCACGACCGCGACCAGCAGGCCTTCGAGGAGCTCACCTGGTGCTACGACGTCGGCATGGGCGAGGGCTCCGTCTTCCGCGGCTCGCGCAACTCGCACGTCCTCGCCGAATTCGCCCGCCTCGCGGAGCGCTACGAGCCGGCGCACGAGGACCTCGACCGCCGCGCCATCGAGCTCCTCCGCAGAGCCGCCCGCAACCAGGCCGACGACCGCGAGCTCGCGGACCTCTCCGCCCTCAACGCCGCGATCGACCGCCAGGACCGCACCCTCGAGCTCATCGACCTCTACGAAAAGCGCGCCCCCGAGAGCCCCGCCCTCGACACCCTCTACAGCGCCAACTTCAACACCCTCATGGAAGCGAAACGCTACGCGTCCCTCGCCACACGCTACAACCCACGCGACGAGCTCCTCGCCTCCGCCCGCCGCTGGAACCGCGCCGAACGGATGATCTCCTCCCAGCCCAACGACAAACGCGCCGAGCGCCGACGCGACGAGGCCCGACGCGAATCGTCCCGCCTCGCCAGCGCCGCAGAGATCGCCACCGGCATCGGCGACGAGAAACTCGCCGCCGCCCTCACCGAACGCCTCTTCGAGATCAACCCGAAAGACTGGTACGCCCACCACGCCCTCGCCGGCGCCCTCCACCGCGCCGCCGGCCCCACCGACGCCGCCCTCGAGCACAGCGCCGCCGCCCTCAGGCTCCTCCCCAAGGACGAAGACGCCGACACCGTCGCCCCCATCACGAGGCGGGCCCGCATCCTGCACGACGCCGGCCGCACCCCCGAAGCCGTCGCCCTCCTCACCACCGCCCTCACCACCTACCCCGACGCCGACCACCGCGACCAACTCCGAGAAGCCCTCGAAGACATCGAGCAATAACAACCGCGAGAGTCATCGAGCGGATACGCTGAACGATCCAACAGCTCAGGCATGCCCCGCGCCGTCCGTTGCGTCACACGCAAACACCAAGACCACCGGAAGCGTCGGCGCCCGGGCTCCCCGATCACCCCGCGCACCCCCCAAACACAAACAACGCGCTCACCAGATCATTGAAATCAACCCCCCCGCTCCCGTCCGCGTCGCACGCCGGCACCACCGGCTCCGACCCGAACTCGAACAGCATCGCGACCAGGTCGTTGAAGTCCACCTCCCCCGACCCGTCGCAATCCCCCACGCACACCGCCGGCGCCTCGTACGTCACATTGACGCACACCTCCTCGACCGTCCCCGAGTCGAACTGGTGCACGTCCCGGAACGTCACCCGCCACACGCCGTCCACCTCCACCCCGTTGTAGAACGACAACGCGTCCAGCGGCGCCACCTCACCAACGAACCGAGGGTTCTCCGGCGTGCACGGCGCTGCCCCCCCGCCCGGCGAATCCGTCACGAGCACGTCCAGCTCCTCCCCGCCGCACCCGAACGTGAACGAACCGACCCCGGGACGATCCACAAGCCGCAGCAGGATCCCCCCGTGCTCCATGAACACCACCACGTCCCCGATCCACTCGTGCGCGACGCGCACCGAGACCGTCACCCCCGTCACCGTCGAGCCCTCCGGCGCATCGACAAACAGGTCCACGCTCGACTCCCCGAGGTCGGGAAGCGCCATCGACGTCGCGCACACCGAGGCGCTCACGCCGGCCCCGCACAACGAGCACGCGCCGAGAACCAGCGCACTCCCGATCGTCATCGCTTCACCGCGCTGCATTGGCGTTCATCTCCGTGTTGCGAGAAAGGTCCTGCGTCTGCGGCGGATCGCTCATCCCCGTCGTGTGGCACCACCCCTCCACGTGCCCCCGGTTGTTCGCGCCCGGGAGCTGCCCGCGCGCCCGCTCGATCACACCGTCGTCCGGATCGCTCAGCACGAGATCCGTGAAGAAGTTGCAGAAATCGAACTGGAACGGCTCGTCCTCGAAACTCGTCGTGTAGTAGTGCACCTTCTGGCGAGACGCCGTCGGGATCCCCGCGAGCCAGATCGCCGAGCCGTCCGGCGACAAATCAAAGTTCGTCCCGCACCCCTGACCGAACACCTCGCCGATCCCCGCCAGATCACCCGCCAGCGGCGTCCCCTGGTACGGCGTGCCCACGCTCTGGATGAGCCGACCCCCCTCCGCCCAGTCCAGCCCGCTCCAGTAGTACGTGTACAGGTGCAACGCCGCGCACCCGCCCTGCGAGTGCCCCACGATCCCGAACGACTTCGACGCCCCGCCCAGCGCCCCGACCAGCTGCGCGAACGCGTCGTGCGAACGCGTCGCGTTCGGATCGCCGAAGACCTCGAGGAACCCGCTGAAGTGGCTCACCGGGAACGGGTTGCCACCGGTGCAGTACCCGTGCACCAGCATCAGGTTGTGCCCACCCGCCACACGCTCGACGCCGGAAAGCTCCACCTCCACCGCCTCGCCCATCCCCGGGTGCTTCGCGAGCATCCCCTTCGTGATCCCGCCCCCCGCGACCCCGCGCGCCTTCCCGAGCATCACACCCGCCCCCTCCACCGCCATCACGTCCACCCGGTCCATCGGCACGCCGGTGTCCACGTCCTGAAGCCGCACGTTCCACAGCTCCAGCCCAACGATCTCCCCGTCCACCATCCCCGCCCACCGCGGATCGAGGAGCAGAGACACGAACCCGCCCGCCGGCTCAACGATCCCACCGACCCAGCACACCGGGACCATCTCATCCCCCGCGAGCCGCGCCCACACCTCCGCCCCGACCTTCACCCGATCCGCCTCCCCGACCACAGGCACGCGCACGAGCACGTCCGCCCCCGCGTCCTCGATCACCGCCATCTCCCCGTCCACACGCGCCAGCGCCTCCACAACCGGGAGCATGAGCGAGGCGCTCCGCTCGAACGCGCCGATCCCGTCCGCCGTCGCCTTCACGTGCACCCGCGCGTCGTACGCCCCCGCACCCGGCAGCGGCACCGTCGCCGTGAACACCCCGTCCCCCGCCCGCGCATCCAGCCCGACACCATCGTCACGCATCACGTACTCGCGCTCTTCCCCCTCGCCGACCACGCGAAGAACCGCCGACGAAACCGACGACCCCGTGTCCGGCACGCGCAGCCCGTCCTCGAGCCGCAGATCGAGCACCCGCGCACAGATCCCCACGGCTCTGTCCTTCACGAACCCGTGCGATGTCACGTTCGCGTACAGCCCCTTCTCAGCCCCGTCCCGCACGAGCACGACGCCCTCCCCGCGACCCGCGAGCCGGACCGCCCCCTCCCCGACCCCATCCTTCCCGTACAGCTTCGCCCGCCCGTCCGATCGTTCGGGCGTCGCCCCCTCCAGCACCGCCGCCCCGACCACCGCGATATCCAAGTCCGCCCCCTCCGGCGCCGCGACCTCGCGAACCCACACCGCCCCGCCCACGTCGAACCGAGCGTACTCACTCACCACGCCCGTGAACTCCGGATCCGGGAGCCGCACCACCCCGCTCACGATGTCCGACGCCGGCGCCGCGATGTGCTTCGGCACGAGCGCCTGCGCCCACGCCGACGAGGCCACGACTCCAACCACGAATATCTGCGCACTTCTCCGCATGCCCGGCTCCTCCGTACCCCGACCATACCACGCCCGTCGCCGATTCAAAGCCCAAAGCAAATGAGCGACACGTGAATCTCACGCCCCGTACAGCTCTCGCGCCCGGATCACCCCGATCACCCCCTCCGGGAGCAGCCCGCGCAGCTCCTCCGAGTCGATCGCCCCGCGCTCCAGCAGCTCTCGCACCCGCGTCGCGCTCACGTCCATCACCGGCACGTCCACCACCCGCGCCCCCCACGCCTCCAGAGCCGCCTCGTCCCAGTGCGGGCGCATCGACGCGAGGAGCGAGTCCCGCGTCTCGTCCGGGGACCGCAGCATCACGAGCGGCTCCGCCAGCTCCATCACCCGCTCGTACTCCCGCCACCGGTGGAACGACACCGCCTGGTCCGCCCCGATGAGCAGCCGCACCTCCCGCGAAGCCCCCAGCGCCGCACGCACGCGCTCGAGCGTCCGCACCGTGTAACTCGGCCCCTCCGGCGCATCGATCTCGATCCGCGACACGACAACGCCCTCCGCGTCCCCCACCGCCGCCTCCAGCATCGCCACCCGCTCCTCCCCGCTCGCCCCCGGCGCGTCCGCCTTGTGAGGCGACTGCGCCGCCGGCACGTACACGAGCCACGCCGCCCCGTACGCCGCGCGCGCCCGCATCGGCAGCTCCACGTGCGCCCGGTGCGGCGGATCGAACGTCCCGCCGAACAGAAGCACCGCCCCGTCGCCATTCAGCCGCGCCGCGAGCTCGTCCATCGCACGATCCGTCACATCGCCCCCTCGATCATCGCCCGCGCCCGCGCGCACGCCGCGTGCATCGCCATCTTCCCGTTCGCCCCGAGCTTGCGCAAGATCCCGATCGAAGACGGGCTCGTCACGATCCGCCTCGCCACCGCCGCGCCGCGCACCCCGCCCTCCGCGTCCAGCAGGTCCGCGATCCACGCCGGGAACTCCTGCTCCGGCCCGTCGCTCACCCCGCGCACCACGCACCACCGCATCCCCCGCTCCGTCGCGCGCCGCGCCACCACGTGCGACTCCATATCCACCACGCTCGCACCCGTCTCCCGCGCCATCGCCCGCTTCGACGCCTCGTCCGGGACGATCACGTCCACGCCCACCACCGTCACGCGCTCATCCCCCGAATCCACAACACTCGGAACCCACGCATTCCCCTCCAGGTCCACCACCCGCTCCACCACCGGGCACACCCCCGTCTCCGTCAATCCCCCGCCGACACCCACCACGAGCACGAGCGGCCGATCGTCCAGCTCGCCCGACTCGAACGCCCGCTCCATCCCGCCCGTGTACGGCCCGAAGCACACCACGTCCGCCACATCCGAGAGCAACCGGCGCGCAAACCCGGCCTCGTACCGCAGCGGACAAAGAATCACGGGTCTCTTCACGCAAACACACTCCCGAACCGGGCTTCGTCAATCAGAACAATCAAGGTACCGGATCCGGCCGCCGCGCAACGCATCGTCAGAGAAGCATCCGGACCCTCACCCCTTCAGCACACCCTTGAACGTCTCGATCGCGTCCTTCCGGCTCTGCTTCACGTCCACGATCGGCTCCGGATACTCGCCCCGGTTTTCCTCCGATGGCTCGTGGATGTCGTCGCCCTCGACGCCCGCCAACTCCTCGACGTGCTCGCGAATGAACTCCCCGTCCGGATCCGTCTTCTCCGACTGCGAGTACGGGTTGAAGATCCGGAAGTACGGCGCCGCGTCCGTCCCCGTCGATGCCGACCACTGCCACCCCCCGTTGTTGCTCCCCAGATCACCGTCGACCAGGTGCTGCATGAAGAACCTCTCCCCCTCGCGCCAGTCCACGAGCAGGTTCTTCGTCAGGAACATCGCCACGATCATGCGCAAGCGGTTGTGCATCCACCCCGTGCGCACGAGCTGCCGCATCCCCGCGTCCACGATCGGCACACCCGTCCGCCCTTCCTTCCACGCCTCGAAGTGATCCCCCGGCTCGTTCCACGGGATCTTCTCCGTCTCCGGACGGAACGCCTTGTGCATGCACACCCGAGGGTTGTTCTCCATCACGTGCCGGTAGAACTCACGCCACACGATCTCGCTCACCCACGTCCCCTCCCCCGTCTTCCAATCCCCGAGCGAGTGCCCCGCCTTGTCCGTCTCCCACACGCACCGACGAGCCGAAATGGCGCCAACCGCGAGGTACGCCGACATCCGGCTGGTCGAGTCCAGGTCCACCCGGTCCCGCTCCTTCTTGTAGTCCGACGCGCCCTTTTTCAAAAAGTCCGTCAGCCGGCGACGCGCGTTCGACTCCCCCATCGGCCACAACTCCAGATGCTCCGGCGCCCCCCCGAACCCCTTCACAGAATCCGGAACATCCTCCCCCGCAACATCGATCGCCTCCCGCGCCCGCGGCTTCCCGAGCGGCTCCGGTGCCTCCCCCCCCAGTTCCTCGAGCCACGACTTCCGGAACGGCGTGAACACCGAATACGGCTTCCCCTCCCCGGTCCGCACCGAGTCCGGGTCCACCAGGCACTGATCCAGAAACGACCGGACCTCGACCCCGTCGTCCTCGAGCCGCTCGCGCACCGCCTCGTCCCGACGGATCTCGTTCAGCTCGTGCTCCCGGTTGAACGTCACCAGCGTCGCGCCGACCTCCCCGGCAACCTCGGCGATCGCGTCCGGCGCATCCTTGAATCTCGGGGCCTCGCGCACCAGCAGCGGGATGTTCCGCGTCTCGAGATGCTCCTTCAGCTCCCGCAGCGCCCCGAGCATGAAATGCAGCCGCACGTCCGACATGTCGTGCTCGCGCCACTGCTTCCCAGCGACGAGGAACACCGCGACCACCTCGTCGCACGCCTCGCACGCGCGGGACAGCGCCGGGTTGTCGTCGATCCGAAGATCCGACCGGAACCACACCAGCGCACGTGTGTGTGACGATTTGGGCATGAGCCGAGACGACCTCCATCCGCCACCCCCGACCCGACGACCGTTATCCTGCGTCCATGACGAATCCCGCCACAGCCGCGCACGAACCCCGCCCCCTCCGGATGGGCTTCGCGTGCGCGATCCTCGCGGTTTCAGCCCTTCTTGTCTATTTCAACACCCTCAACGCCCCCTTTATCTTCGACGACCTCCCCCGCATCGCCAACAACCCCAACCTCCACGCCCTGCTCCCCATCGACGGCTGGCTCGGAGACTCCCGCCGCCCCCTCGTCTCCCTCTCCCTCGCCCTCAATCACGCCATCTCGGGCACTGAAACATGGAGCTACCACGCCCTCAACATCGCCGTCCACATCGCGAGCGCGTGCGCCCTCTTCGCCCTCCTCCGAACCTGCGGCCTCTCCGAACGCCTCCCCGAGTGGATCCGCGCGAAGCGCCACACCATCGCCCTCAGCGCCGCCCTCCTCTGGACCGTCCACCCCCTCAACACCCAGGCCGTCACCTACACCATCCAGCGCGCCGAATCCATCATGGCCCTCTTCTACCTCCTCGTCCTCCTCGCGACCGCCAAAGCCGCGCTCGCGACCACGGGCAAACTGCGCACAACCTTCTCAATACTCGCCATCACCGCCAGCGCCCTCGGCATGGCGAGCAAGGGCGTCATGGTCACGGCGCCCGTTGCCGCGCTCCTCCTCGACCGCACCCTCTTCGCAAGCAACAACCTCGAACCACTCCGCAGACGCTGGCCCCTCTACGCCGGCCTCGCCCTCACCTGGGGCGTCCTCTTCGCGCTCGGCATCGTCGAGCAGACCCTCTCCCCCGAATCCGCCTCCGGCACCCAGCGCACCGTCGGCCTCGGCTTCGAAGCCGCCACGCCGCAGAGTTACCTCTTCACCCAGGCCCAGGTCATCCCCCACTACCTCCGACTCGCCGTTCTCCCATTCGGTCTCAACCTCGATCACCGCTGGCCCTTCGTCACCGACCTCGCGGACGCCATCCTCCCCGGACTCCTCGTCCTCGCCCTCCTCGCCGCCTCGCTCTACGGCCTGCTCAAGCGCACCTGGTGGGGCCTCACCGGCACCCTCTTCTTCCTGATCCTCTCGCCCACCTCCTCGTTCGTCCCCGTCCTCGACGCCGCCGTCGAGCACCGCATGTACCTCCCCCTCGCCTGCGTGACACTCCTCGCGAGCCTCGTCATCCACGCCCTCGCGGCCAAGCTCGCCCAGCGCCCCACGCCGACAGCCCTCGCCATCACGACCGTCCTCGCCGTCGCTCTCGGAGCGCTCACCATCCAGCGCAACACCGCCTACGCCTCACCCCTCGCCATGTGGACGGACGTCACCACCAAAGCCCCCCACAACGTCCGCGCCTGGCTCGGCGTCGGACGCGCCCACCAGGACGCCGGCGACCACGACGCCGCCATCGCCGCCTACGAGCGCGCCCTCCGGGAAGGCCCCGGTTTCCTCCCAGCCCTCACCAACCTCGGCCGCGCCTACAACGACGCCGGCCGCCACGCCGACGCCGTGCGCGTCCTCGCCGAGGCCGTCGAGCAAAGAGACAACCACGCCAGCGCCTGGTACGAGCTCGCCGTCGCGCACCAATCCCTGAGCGACACCGCCAGCGCCGCCGCCGCTCACGCGAAAGTCGTCGAGTTGTGCGAGCAGGGCGTCCGCACCGCCACGCCCGAGATCCACGCCGGCTCCCTCACCAACCTCGGCGTCTTCGCCTTCCAGTCCGGAGACGCCGCCCGCGCGACCGACCTCCTCCGACGGGCGACACAGATCGACGAGACCAACGTCAAAGCGCACTTCAACCTCGCCGTCGCCCTCCACACCTCGGGCGACTCCGCCGGCGCGCTCGAACAGCTCGCGACCGTCGAGCGCCTCGACCCCGACCACCCGGGCGCCCCCCGCCTCCGCCGGATGATCAATCAGCAGCGCTGAGGTGCTCGCGGAAGAACGCGAGCATCCGCTCGTGCAGCCGCTTCACCGTCACCGGCTCCACTACCATGTGCGTGTGGCCCGGCAGCGGCATGAACTCGTGCGCCCGCCCCGCCTTCGTCAACGCGTCGCTCATTTTGAGCGAGTGCGTCAGGTACACGTTGTCGTCCGCCGTCCCGTGGATGATCAGCAGCGGAACCTCCAGCAGGTCCGCGTACGTCAGCACGTTGCTCACCCGGTACGCCTCCTCCGCCTCCGGGTCCATCCCGGGGACGCCGATGTACCGCTCCGTGTAGTGCGTGTCGTAGTCCAGCCAGTCCGTCACCGGAGCGCCCGCGATGCCGCAATCGAACACCTCCGGGTGACGCATCGCCGCCATCGCGCTGAAATACCCGCCGAACGACCACCCGAACACACCCACCCGCTCCATGTCCATCTCCGGGTACCGCGCCCCGAGCAGCCCCAGCGCCTCCACCTGGTCCGCCAGCGGCGCGTCGATGAAGTTGTGCCGGATCGTCCGCTCCCAGTCCCGCCCCCGGTGCGGCGTCCCCCGGCCGTCGATCCACACCACGACAAACCCGTGATCCGCGATCCACTGGTCCATCAGGTACCGACCCTCGCTCGCCACCACCCGCTGCGAGTGCGGCCCGCCGTACACGTGCAGCAGCACCGGGTACGCCCTCCCCGGGTCGAAGTCACGCGGGCGAACGACGAGCGCGTGGAAGACCTCGCTCCCCTCCACCGTCGTCAGCTCCAGGTTCGTCGTGAACCCCGGCTCAGGCGTCAGGCGGGGAACCTCCGCGACCACGCGCCCGAGATCGTCCGGAGTCACACGCCGCACGTACGTCCGGGCCCGATCCTCGAGCGACCGCGCCGTGTGTATCGCGATATCCGTCCCCTCCTCGAAATCCATCGAGTGCACCCCGCCCAGGAACGACGTGTAGTCCGCCACCACGCCGGACCCGTCCAGCGCCAGCGCGTACACGTGCGACTGCGTCGGGTCCGCCGACGCGCTCACGTACGCCACCCCGCGACCCTCATCAACACCGATGAACCCGCGGAGCCCGAGCGCGTCGTCGTGCAGCGCCACGAAATCCCCGTCCGGCGTCCGCCGCTCGAGCTGCAGAGCGCCCGACCGCTCCGTCATCCACAGGAACGCCCCGCCGTCCTCGATCCACCGCGGCATCGACTGCTCGAGGTTAATCCAAGCCTCGTCGGACTCCGCGTGGATCACCCGCGATCTCCCCGTCTCGTGATCCACCGCGAGCACGCGCAGCTCCGTCTGCGCCCGGTTCTGCACCACGACCGTGAGCGGAGCCCCCTCGCTCCACTTCACCGTCGCGAGGTACGGGTATTCATCCCGGTCCCAAGACACCCACACCGTCTCACCGCCACCCGCGGGCACGACGCCCAACTCAACCACCGCGTTCTTCTTCCCCGGGCGCGGGTACCGCCAGCTCTGCGGCTCGCTCCCCAGGTCGAACGGGTCGAGGATCGTCACGAACTCCACCTCCCGCTCGTCCGTCCGCTGGTACGCGACGAACGCGGCATCCGGCGACCACCAGAACCCGTCGTACCGGCGCATCTCCTCCTGCGCGACGAACTCCGCCCGACCCACGCTCACCCCCTCCACGCCCCCGTTGTCCGCGAGCACCACCCGCCCGCCCTCACCCACCGTGTACACAACAAGCTCGTCCCCCTCCGCGCACGCCACCATCGACGCGTCCGGCGACAGCCGCGGCCCGAACGAGAACGCCTCGCCCGTCGGAAGCTTCGTCACCCCGCCCGACGCCCGGTCCACCACGTACAGCCCGCCCGAGAGCGGCACCAGGATCGACCGCCCGTCCTCGCTCAGCGCGAACCCCGCGATCCCCCGCGCGCTCGACCGCATCCGCTCGCGCAGCGCGATCTCCTCCGCGCTCAGTTCCTCCTCCGCACCGCCCAGGATCGCGTCCGCCGTGAGCAGCACGCGCACCGCCCCCGTCGCCGTATCCATCTCGTACAGATCCTGCACCCGTGAACCCGGCGACGACTGCAGGAACAGCACCGCCTCCCCGCCCGGCACGATCGTCACGCCCGACGGCGCGCCCGCCCGGAACCGGAAGCTCGACGCGTACCGATCCAGGAAATCGTCCGTCGCGATCGTCTCCGCCGTCGTCCCGGGCACGTGCGCCGTGCGCACGTCCTCCCGGGAATGCACGCTCTTGCACCCGAGCAACGCCAACCCGACCAACCCAAGCCCGATCCATCGCTTCGACATCACGCCGTCTCCTTCCCGCCGCCGCCCAGCTCCGCTTCCAGCATCGCCACGTGCCGCACCAGGAGCGTCAGCTCCCGCCGCAACCGCCGCATCCGCGCGTACACCATCAGAAAACCGATCAGCATCACCACGATCCCGCAATAAAACACCAGGTCCGCCCCGCGACCGATCCCCAGCGCCTTCGCGAGCGCCGTCGTCACGTCCGGCTTCACCGAGACGATCAGCCCCACCCCCCACAGGATCACCCACCCGAACCGCTCCCGGCTCGCGTTCCACCGACGAGCCGACCCGATCACGCTGACCGCGAACAGCGCCCCGAACACGCACACCAGAACGATCTGAAAATTCGTCATCGCAAAACCTTCCCGACCAGATAATCAAAGGCGATCCGCGCCGCCCGGCGCGAGGACTGCCCCTTCGCCATCGAGTACTCCGTGTAGTGGATCCGCACCGGAACCTCCACGTACCGCATCCGGTGGCGGCGCACCTGATCGATGATCTCGCTCGCGTGCGCCATCCGGTCCAGCGTGATGTCCAGCTTCTCCGCCGCACGGCGCGAGAACGCGCGGAAACCGTTGTGCGCGTCCGTCAGCATCACGCCGCTCGTCACCGCGCCGAACACGATCGCCAGCCGCAACACCAGCCGACGCCCCAACGGCAGGTTCACCGCCTCGCCCAGGAACCGCGAGCCCAGCACCGCGTCCGCCTCCCCCGCCCGGATCGGCGCGATCATCGCGTCGATGTCACCCACCTCGTGCTGCCCGTCCGCGTCGAACGTCACCACGATCTCCGCACCCTTCGAAAGC